GCTAGATGATTATTTAGTAATATATATGAATGCTGAATCACTATGTTATATACCTGAAACTAATATTGTACATCAACTACACTTCAATGACAAAAACACTCTATGAGTGGTCCTGCTTCCCCCTCGGCCAAAAAAGTAGCACCAACCTTTTTGATCTTTGCTGATGCATGAAGTGGTAGTACCCTACTATAATTTTATTTTTCTTATTATGAGTGATGTTGAGCTCTTTCATATGTTTAGAATCCAATTGCATTGCTTTCCCAATGAACTGTACATGTCATTTGCCCATTTTTTTCTCTTGAACTATCGGTCTCTTTATATTGGCTTAGTCCATCTAAAGGAAATACTGGCTCTTTACATCTAAAGGAAATTAGCATTTTTTGGTAGGTTTCAAATTTCTCCTTAGCTTATCTTTTGACTTAATTTGCTCTTTGTCTGTCTATATTACATTTTTTTGGTAATGAGAGGAAAAAAATTCTTAACAACCTAATGTCAAGTGTCTTCCTGCCCACCCCAGAGGAGTAACATGAGGAGATTAAATTCTCTAAAGTTATCTTGAGTGCTTTAAAGAAAATGGTTCTAGAAATAATATTAACACTATATGATATCCATTGTAATTTTAAAGTAAGTTGTACGCCCCAAGGACAACACCATGCTTCTCAACATAAAGTCTGTTTTAGCCACATTATTCATAAAATAATTGCTTTCAAAGTAGCTCCTCTTTCAGTTGTACACAGTTTTGCTTTACCTTTCCATTATGTGCACGTGACACTTTTTCATGACCATCTTCTATCTTTTAATAGTCCTCCTTGCTTTTTAAATCACATACAGCTCCACATTCATTCTCTCTATCCCCTAGTATTATTAAAAAATCACTTCACTTGGTCCTCATCTGTCAATAATGATTCCCATTACAGGGACAACGATGAGAGAGGGCAGAAGAGTGGATGTTTCCTTTCCATCGGGGCAGTTTTCCACCTTTCCCAGGGTAACCCACCCCCAGAGAGATATGAACTGTTGGCACACAACTTACACAAGTGTTACAGGTTGAGTTGTGTCCCCCCTCCCCCAAAAGATATGTTGAAGCCTTAAGCCCTGGGACCTGTGAATATGAGCTTATTTGGAAGTTGAGTCTTTGCAGATATAATCCAGTTAAGAGGTAGACCCACTAGAGTAGGGCAGCCCATAATCCAATATGACTCGTGTCCTGACAAGAAGAGAGAGAGAGTCGAAGGGAAAATGTCATGTAGACACAGACACAAGGGGAAAATGTCAGGCAATGTCAGAGGTAGAAATTGAAGTGCTGCAGTTGCAAGCCATGAATCACCAGAAATCTTCAGAAGCTACGCAGCAAGTAAGGGTCCTCCCCTGGAGCCTTCAGAGGGAGCATGGCCCTGCTCGTACCCTGATTTTGGACTTCTAGCCTCCAGAACTGGGAGACAATAAATCGCTGCTGCTTTGAGCCACTTAGCTTGCGGTATTTTGTCACAGAAGCCCTAGGAAGCTAGTGCAACAAAGCAGAGCCAGTGAGAATGCCTTCAGAGAGATAACCTGAATTTAATCAAGGTTCTAATTGGTAAAAACAAGTGAAACCAATTGCAACTTTGTGTTTTAGTGATTGATAATAACCAATTACTTCTAACTCGCACTGTAGCCAATTTGAATACATCAATACATATTAATGTCTTCACTGGTAACCAGAGCATCAGGTATAATAAAGGATGATGGAAATGCTTTAATGTTTTTACTTTAGAAATCTAAAATTGAAACTTATGCCACTGGCCAGAATCTCTAAATTCTATTTCCCTGACTCTCAATTTTTGCTTGGATTACTCTACTTTGATTTCTAAGTATTAAACCCAGTTCAAGGAGCAGGCATAAAGAGGAATATCTAAATACTCATAAGGTCCACAGTGGACTCTGTGGTTTATGCTATACATTGAGCTTACCCAGAATACTACAATGAGCTCAGCGAATTCAAAAGAAATGATCTGAGCCGCCTAAGAGCATCACTGATAAGCTACATGCTACTAGGCTGGCATACTTGGTCCTATCAATTTTGTAATTCAGGAAAAGGGGGAATTGGGTAGAACATGGGGAATAAATTAACTCATGCATTTATTAATTCATCCCACAAACATTTAGCGTGCCATGAGCAAAGCACTGCGGACACTGTGGTGAACAAGCTGCACGTGGGGCTCTCAGGTCTCATGGCAGGAACTAATTGCATCCTGAATGATTTCACTGCAATTGTGCTAAGTGCTACAAAGGAAAAGCACAGAATGCCATTAAAACAAACACTGGAGGACCTTCTTTGAGCAAGTAGAAAGTAGAGTGAGCTCTAAAGGCTGGCTAGGAATTAGGAGAAGATTGCAGTCATGTGTTTCAATGGGTGGAACAACATACGATTAAGCCTGTGGCAGAAGCAGCCTAATTTATTCAGGGAACTGTGAGAGGGTCAGTGTGTCTGGAGAGTAGCAATGGAGGATAGGAATGGAGTAAATGACAGGACATTGAGGTAGGCAGGGGAGACCACATAAGACCTACAGATTGCCTTGTACTTCCCTCCCACGCTCACCAGGCTACTAACCAGCTTCTGGCTCCTCCAAAGTGGGTGAATAGGGAAGGTCTTACTTGATGTGGTGAGCTCCAGAGTGGACCCTATGATCCCCACCCTCCCCTCCTGGTGTTCACACCATAATGTGATACTCTCTGCTATGGTGAGAACTGTCTTCCCCAAAAGATACATTGCAGTCCTAATCGCAATACCTGTGAATGTATAATCTTATTTGAAAATAGGGTCTTTGCTGATGTAATCAAGTTAAAAATTCACACTAAATTGGGATGGGCCTTAATGCGATATGACTGGCGTCCTTGTGAGACCAGGGAAATCTGACACTGACACAGACACAAGAAGGAAGAAGGCCATGTCACCACATAGGCAGAGACTGAGGTGCCACTGTCGCAAGCCAAAGAACATCAAAGTTTGCTGGCAAACCAGCAAAAGCTAGAAAAAAGCAAGTCAGGATTCTCACCTATCGGTTTCAGAAGGTGCCTCCCTACCAACAACTTGATTTTGGACTTTCAGTCTCCAGAACAGTGAGATAATAAATTTCTGCCGCTTTAAGTCACCCAGTTTGTGCTATTTTGTTACAGGAGCCCTAGCAAACTGATACCGATTTCCCTTGTGTCGGGGTGGGATCTATGATTTGCTTCTGAACAATGGGATATGGCAAAGGGATGGGCCATCACTCCCACAATTACGAGACTCTCTTGCTAGCAGACTCATTCTAGAGACTCACTTTCCCTTGCTGGCTGTAAAGAAGCAAGTTACTAAGAGTCCCAAAGTCACAAAAAACTACAAAGAATTGAATTCCACCAACAAACACACAAGTAGGGAGCAAATCCTTCCCTAGCCAGACCTCGGATGAGACCGCAGCCTGACTGATATCTTGCAGCTTGTAAGACTCTGCGCAGAAAATCCAGCTGAGCTGTGCCTGGACTTCCAACCCACAGACACACAGACATCGTGGGATAATAAACACATGCTGTCTTAGGCCTAATAATCTGTTACACAGTATGAAAAACTGATCCACTTATACTGCAGCACAGCAAACTGACTTGGTGTTCTCTCTGGGAATGGAACATGCTGAAAGCTGACTCTATGGGTGCTTTCATGCATGCCTCGGAAGTTCCCGTCACTGGGGACTCTCTCGCAGTTCCCTTGGTGTGGGCCAAGCATCTTTTCCTATCAGTTTCTTGCAACTCCTTCCTTAGGAATCCAGTGATCACCTCCTGGTTCTTGCCGCTAGGGTCCCTCTGGCCAGGACTGAAGCCATTCCGAGGCTACTACCCTCCCTCACGAAGCCTACATCTGGACACCAGTAAACACTCAAAGATCCTTTGGCCTGGGGCGCCTGGGTGGCTCAGTTGGTTAAGTGTCTGCCTTCCGCTCAGGTCATGATCCCAGGGTCCTGGGATCCAGCCCCGCATCGGGCTCCCCGCTCGGCCGGGAGCCTGCTTCTCCCTCTCCCTCTGCCCCCCACCTTGTGATCTCTCTCTCTCTCTCTCTTTTGTGTCAAATAAATAAATAAAATCTTAAAAAAAAAAAAAGGATTTTTTGGCCCAACCATATCTAGGAGGGCAGGCCCTTCCCAACACAGCAGCCCTCTCCTCAGCCCATCCCTCTACTTCAGCTTTGCTATACAGCAATCCAAAGTTAACAGCTCTATGGGGTCCCTCCAATAGCAGAATATGAGGATTTGATCTGTGATATCTATTGTGTTGGAAATTCCATCAGAATGGAGGCAGCAGAAGTACCATTTTAGCAACTTGTTACTTTGAGCATTCACAAGTCATAAAACAAAAGATATAATTTAGTGCTAATGCTACTATTAATTTCTAGCTGACATTTTAAACATTAGCTTGTCAAGACTATGACCCCTATTTTAAAAATAATGATTAAATACCCTCAAACAAATTTATGTATCGCAAGGTGACAGAAGCCAATGAATCAAAGTATTTTGCATTACTGGGTGCCCGGGTGGCTCAGTCAGTTGAGCGTCTGCCTTCAGCTCAGCTCATGATCTCAGGGTCCTGGGATCGAGTCCTGCATCGGGCTCCCCAGTTGGCGGGAAACCTGCTTCTCCCTCTCCCTCTGCCCCCCCTCCCCCACCCCCACTCGTGCTCTCTCTTGCTCCCTCTCTCTCAAATAAATAAATAAAATAGTTAAAAAAATTTTTTAAAAAGTCTTCTGCATTATTTAAAAGCTCCTCTTATGGGTGGCAAAATACAAAACTAAACTACAGAAAATACAAAATTTATTCATTCATTTATTGAACAAGTGTTTATTGAGCACCGTCTAAGTGAGATTCTATTTTAAACTTTTAAAATATTTAATTTTGATCTTACTTAGCCAGATTGCTTAAAAAAGGTAGATGTATAAGAAGAAAAATGCATATCAGATAAAATTTTAGAGATGCTTATTATTCCAAAATTACCTGAAAAAGCATTGCTGTAATATCTAGACAGAGTCTGCATGATGTCTTTTGAGTGCTGGGTCCATGGTGCTATCTTTCTGTAGGTTTTTACACGATGAACAAGTTGAGAACCACCATACTGAAGGGACAGGGTATCCCCATGATCTTCATAGAGTTCCTCAAATAACCTAAACCAAAGAAAAACAAACATTACAAAATTTTACCAGAAGTATTACACACGTTGTTCAGTTAGCCACATATGAATTCCTATGAGCCTTTCAAGCAGACTCTTGATGATAAATCCACATGCAAAATATATGTACAGTAATAGTCTAATAAGTAAAAAAGTCATAGAAAACACTAAAATGGAAGTAGGAGCACCAAAAACCACCACCACCAAAGCCAGACCAAGGTGGTTCTAACCTTACCGAAAGACTCCTAACTTTCTTCAGGCTGCCAGATCAATTTACCTCCCACAACAGAATTTTCTACCTTTCTGGAAAAAGGACATGCTCCTGTCACTGACAGATAAACCATATTCTTTCCTAAAAACACATGTTTGAAACTTGTATTTCTTCAAGTTGTTAAGATTTTCAGTGCTGTGATATCTGTGGATCTGGCCATTTGGAAGTTGTTCATTTTCCTCAACAGAGCCTTTATGACTACCTCAGATGACCAATAATAACCGTTATTGTATTTTCAAGAAATAGCACACATAATGCCATAGATCCAATGGACAGTGAAGAAACAGTAATCCTTAATGAAGAATCAATCTTTCATATATCTTATATTTTTAATTCAAAATGTATGAAGGCGCATGACTTTTTCTTTCTAATGCAGTCTGGATTTGGTTGTGTTTTTTTTTTTTAAGATTTTATTTATTTATTTATTTGAGAGAGCACGCATGAGCAGGGCCGGTGGTGGGGGGAAGGAATACAAGGGGGAAGGAAAAGGAGGGGAAAAGAATCTCAAGCCAACTCCATGCTGAGCATGGAGCCCAACACGCGGCTTGATCTCATGACCTGAGATCATGACCTGAGCCAAAACCAAGAGTCAATGCTTAACCAACAGAGCCACCCAGGTGCCCCTGGATTTGTTTTTGTAAAAACCCACTAGTTTGTATTTATCTAAAGCACTTTGGATTTATATAAAGAGCACAGCATTTATTCATAATCAACACAAAAAAATAAAAACCATGGCAACAACATACAGGTCTTTAATGGAAATATTTATTACAGAATTAATTTGAAAAACGTCTTTCGGCAACAAAATTTGTGAGAAGTTAAAAGAAATAAGTTCATAGGGCGCCTGGGTGGCTCAGTTGGTTAAGCGACTGCCTTCGGCTCAGGTCATGATCCTGGAGTCCCTGGATCGAGTCCCGCATCGGGCTCCCTGCTCGGCAGGGAGTCTGCTTCTCCCTCTGACCCTCCCCCTCTCATGTGCTCTCTCTCATTCTCTCTCAAATAAATAAATAAAATCTTTAAAAAAAAAAAAAAAATAAGTTCATAGAAGTCCTTATTATTAACCAGTTTTGCTTTCTGTCATTACCAGCATTCAAAAGGTAGAAAGTAAGATTTACCTAACTGCGTCTGTATCGAACTGCAGATTAGGCTTGTCGATCAGTCCCAAGGAGTACAGCTGGTACGCCAGAGCGCATTTTCCCACCATAAACTGTGCTGTGTTGGTGCGATCTAAACAGTCCACACAGTTGGTTCGAAGAACACCCGTCTAAAGAGAAATACCGTAAGCCTTTCAACCATTATTCAGTGGCCAAACCTGCTTCTACCCCACTTTAGATTTCTTTTCTTAAAAAATAGAAGAAAAACCGTAGGCAAGGTATTACTCCTGAATAAACAATGAAGAACGTTATAAAAAGGGTCTATTTGCTGCCCACTTAATATTGCTGCAATGGCATCCTTACACCTTGTAGTCTGTATTTGGATTTTCTTCCTGAGCTTGAAATAAAACAGCGAACATTTTCCTCATGTACCAACAGGTAAACTATATGCTTTTTTCCCTGATACACCTCCTTTATTGTACAAACCAAATATTCAGTGGTTGAGGCCGTATCTTTTTTAAAGCATAATTTACATATATATAGTGATTGTTTCTGGCTCATTTTCCAAAGTGATTCTAATTTATTCTTTTCCCATTTCTGTTTATGTTTTGATTTCCAATAATAAAATTTATCCTGTATAGAAAAACTCCACAGGCATTATTTTAGCTGTACATCATTTGTAAGAGTTAAACACTAGCAGTTCGGCTTTTCAACACCATCCCAAACAGTTAATAATTTTGCATTAAGTGAGAAGTCTTGCTCTCTCTCCTGGCCACTTTCAGAAAACCTCATACACCAGGAATACAGATGCTTTTTATTATTAATATAGTATCTATATACCTGCAGGCGACCAGTGGCAATTACACATCCTCCTAGTTCGTTCCACCTGTGTTTAAAAACAGATGTTGAAGAAAAAAGTCAATAGCATAATCTATATTCATTTTTGGTTCCAGCTCTTTATAAAGAATCAAAGTAATAGGGCCGAATGCGCCGGAATAATCAACTGATTCTGCGCACTTTCATTCTTTCTGGTAAGTGAATATGCAAATAACTGAGATGGAATGCTATCCATGCTCTCTTTCCTCACAGGGAACCCAGGAAAGAAGCATCTTCTCTCGCCCCAGTGTCCCACACTCAGGCATTTGTCACCCACATTCAACCAAAATCTCTCTTGCTTTAATTTAAGCCCATTTCCTGTTTGGTTTCTACAGACATGAATAGTAATTGCAGGGCATTAAGCCTTATCCTTCTCCCCTCAACATTAAGATCCTCCACCTCCTCCAGCATTTCTTCATGGAGCTTTGTTGCATTCCTTTGGTTGTTTCTGCAGATCTCATTATTTTCCTTCCTACTTATTTTCTCCATGTGCTAATGAATGCCTGGGAATATGTTCTAAGTACTATATAATGATATTGATATTTTATTTTAATGATCTAAAGCATTTTAATGATTTAAAACATTTTAATTTCTTAAAATATCTTCATTATTTCAAAGAAGGTGCAGTACAGAGAACGGTTAACACAATAGGCCTGACTGCTATCCTCAGAAAGGCCTGCTTATACGGTTGGCCCTTGGCTGGCATCTGGAAACTTGTGTTCCCACCATTCTCAGATGGACAAGAGCGGCTCACTGTGCCTAAACTGTCTGTTGAAACAATATGGTTTTGCTGAATATCCTCTTTCCTTATGGGAGTCAGGAATTTTGGTATGTGCCAAGCAGAAGCTGCCTAGGGGACCAGCCTCCAATAAAAAACCCTGGCACTGATTATCTAATCATCTCCTCTGGTTGGCAACATTTCATACATGCTGTGACAACAAGTTGCTGGGGAATTAAGCATGTTCTGTGTGACTCCATTAGGAGAGGACTCTCCGAAAGCTTTACCTATTTCCTCTGGACTTTGCCCCATGTGCCTTTTCCCTGTGCTAATTTTGCTTTGTGTCCTTTAACCTTAATAAATCACAGCCATGAGAACAACAATATGCTGAGTGCTTTGAGTTTTCCCAGTTTATCACTGAGCCTAGGAATGGTCTTCCGGACCACTGTCACAGGTACCCTAAAATTCAAACTGTAACAAAAGGATGACTTCTGAAGACATACACACTATAGTTGGTTGTTTTTTTGCTCTTTGTTTTTTTTTTTTTTTAACCATTATAGTTAACTTTGTTAGCTGAAAATAAAATGCTGGGGATATACAATATTAGTTCCGTAAAAGATAAATAAAACCTGATCCTTGATCTGAAGAAGCTCACAAAGTAGAAGAAAGATTTGTGAGCAAATAATTATAATACAATGATAAACATTATTTTCATAAAAATGTTAGTATTTAGTCAATAGAAAAGAATTCCTGCTCCTATTTAATGCTGAAAAACAGAATTCACTGCAGAAAATTTTACTTTACAGAAATATTTTATGTAATGTTTATTCCATGAAGTAAGAGATAAAGATTCTGTGGCTTCCATCTCAAGATATATAACCAGAGGAAATCCTGTGCCCATAGTGAATGTTCATTCCACAATCACCTGAATATCTTGTCTGCCCCAATAAATTCATCCGTCTTTCAAGAAGTACAAACTGCTCATATTTAGAATATTTTTATCCATAAGAGCAAAATGCTTGATTTCAGTTTTTAAACACTATACGTACTTTTCATCTGGCCGCAAAATGCTACAGTAAGAATCAGGGCGGTTTACAAAGAAACCTGTTTTCTTCACCACACTTTCTGCAATCACGTTCAGTCGATCAAGAACATTACACAGCTTGCTGACGAGAGGAGGAAGAATGAGAAAAGTGAGAAGAGCCCATTTAATATATTTTTACCTTTACATCCGAAGCAAATAAAAGTTCATAGTAATGATATTCAGGGATTTAATTTTTAAAATCTCTGGTTTGTATCCAACAGGAACACTGTAATAATTAGTTTCTATAGTATAATGTGTACTCAATAACTAACAAGATTTGGTGCAAAGAGACATCAAGGGCCTGTATCAACTCTTGGCAAGCCTTAATCTTGGCACATTACATCCCCTGGAGAGCTTTTCCCAAAGCCTTTCACTACTTAAGAGTCACATCAATCAAGTCAATATGCATTCATAAGATGACTGTGAGGAGAGCGTGATGCACAGTGTGGGGGGCGGGGGAAGAAAACCCTGGAGAATAAATATAAATGGTGCCCACCTGTAATCAGGCTTAGACTCTAGGAAAATGTGTGCATATGTGTGTGTGAGTGTGTGCATGGGTATCTAACTACACAAAATGATTCAGAGAAAAGTACAATGAGTTAAAGTACAAAACAATACAATAACATTAAAAAAAATTAACGAGACCTCAAAATAAACCTTGTGTGAATATGATATCTAGGAAATGAGTAAAAGGAGAATGCAAAGTTAATGAAAGAAGGTCCCTTGGATGAGACATTTTGAGTCAGATCTTGGCACGTAAAGGAGGGGTGGGAAAGCACCCCAGGGAGGTGGGGGTCGAACAACAGGAACAAAGGCTCAGGTATGGGACCCTGGCTGCCATGCTGGGGGCTGAGCATGCAGTTTCATTTTTCAGGAACAGAATGGCCGCAGAATAAAGAAAAAGTTATTACATTCTGGAACCAACCAGGCGGTGGGGCTTTAACACTACACTGAGGAGTATGGATTTACTATGAACACTCAGGAGTTACTGCAGGTTCATCCACAAGCGAGATCATCTGAAAGTGGTGTCTGAGAAAGTGATTAAACAGGGGAACAGGATGAAACATGGAAAAGTGAAGCCAATGTCTGTAAGGGAAAGTCGTGGAGCAGGGATGTCCTGAAATGACTAGCTACTTCAAAGAGAATGTGCAAATGGTGTAAATCATGGGCAAAAAAAAAAAAAAAAAGAGCCTGGTCAATTAATTTAAGCAGTCAAATTATACATCAGTAGCAAAAAGGCCCCTCAGCAGGTTCATGAAGGAAATTAAAAGATACCATTTACTTTATTTTTTTTTAAGATTTTATTTATTTATTTGAGAGAGCAAGCGAGAAAGCGAGAGAAAGAGCACAAGCAGGAGGGAGGGGCAGAGGGAGAGGCAGAAGCAGGTTCCCTGCTGAGTGGGGAGCCTGATGCGGGGCTCGATCCCAGGACCCCAGGATCATGACCTGAGCCGAAGGCAGACGCTTAACCAACTGAGCCACCCAGGCGCCCACAGTTACTTTACCATAGAGATCAGCTTCCTGCGATTTTATATCACAAGAAAAGGAAAATACCAGAACCAAACATATGAATATTTAGTCACCTTTTGGTGTACTTGGCCATATCCCAAGGGATATAAATAATCGTGTGTTCAGGAGGCAAAAACTGGTTGAGGTACGTCACAGCGGCCACAAGCTCTTCACTCAGAATTCTCTCATGTTTTCTTTTCTCTCGTTCCTTTATCAAAAATTAAACATTTTCAGGGTTCTAATTACCTTAAATCAGAGGAACAGACTTTTAACATTTTTACTTTTCAGCTAAGACAAGAAGCCTAAGTCTTAAATACACCGAAATAAAGTCTAAAATAAAAATAATATAAATGCAAAGAAATAAACACTTCGTTGAATTAAAATCAACAGATAATTAGCTTCAAAAATTCAAGGAGATGGGATTTCTTTTTAATAACTTCCTGCAGCTCTAAGAAGCCCAGTTCACCCTCCTGGGCCTGGTCTACACACTCCACATCCCACTCTGGCAGAGAACTCCCCAAGTACCAGAAGAAGGAAACCCCCAATTTCAGCCAGGCAAGGACCACACAGAAATCAACTGGGTCTGGATGGATAATCCCTCAATTGGCTGAGAGTGCTTTTGCAGCCAACATGTGTTTTTGTTTTTTTAAAGATTTTATTTATTTATTTGTCAGAGAGAGAGCACAAGCAGGGAGAGCGGCAGGCAGAGGGAGAAGCAGGCTCCCCGCCGAGCAGGGAGCCCGATGTGGGACTTGATCCCGGGACCCTGGGATCATGACCGGAGCCGAAGGCAGCCGCTTAACCGACTGAGCCACCCAGGCATCCCAGCCTACATGTGTTTTTAAATTTAACTCTCATAAAACACCCTGTGAGGTAGCCAAGGCAGGCCCTTTTCCTCCCTTTTACACTGTGGTTGAATGAGGTTAAGAGGAGTTCATGGGACCAAATCTTACCTTCTGCCTCCCTGCCTGCTGTACTCCCTTACATAGGACATGCCTCTCATTCCAGAGCTCTGGGGCTAGAATGTTAGCTCTGTTACCTGCTGGCCACATAGTCTTGGACAAGGTTCTCAACTTTCCTAGGCCTCTATTTCTTCATCTATAAAATGGGTACAATACAATACATGGATACAACAGTATTTTCCTTTCAGCAATAATGTGAGGTTTAAAAGAGATAAAACATGATACTCTCTTATCAGAGCATCTGGCACGTGGGAACTATTTTTTTTATTGTTATCCTGTTCAGGACCTTACTTAGAAACAAGGTAGTAACACTGATATGGTGTGAGGCACTATTGCTGGTATTAAAATGGGTCTCTGCTGCTTTCAATCATGGTGATTAATTATCAGTTGTCATGAATTTAATTAGATAACCGCTGTGGAAACAAAAAGGGTAACTATTTTGCACAGCTGAGTAAATCAAATGGAGGAATTAGAAAAGAGTTGATTAAGAACGGTGTTAAATCAGTTTAGGACAAACATGTAGTTAGCTTTTTACATCTGAGAAAATTAAATTATATCTCTGGAATTTTTCTCAAAAGCACTTTAAATCAACTAGGGAAACAAAAGCTTTTTGAAATTCTTTGATCAAATCTGACATTTCATGAGATGGGGAGAACAGGTTATCTAATCAACCTTCGGTCATCTCTGTGTACAAAGAATCTGCTCTGTGCACCGTCTGACCATCACGGATTAGCATCAGTGGGTTGTTTAGCTAACCTCCTTAGGGTCACAGACCCCTGTTACAACCAAATGAAAACATGACAGGTACAAGTGGTTTTGTCTGTCATCCCAAGGGTTCAGAGACTGCCTCAATGACCATCCATGGCCCTCAGACTAAAAACCTCCAAATACAGTTATGCTTGACTCCAGGCTGACTTCCTATTGATTCCCCAGTAACAGCACTGAAGGTGCATGGATTGCTGCGAAATGTCAAGCAGCGCCTCAAGCTTCCACAACCAAGGAAGCGGGGGAGAGGGATGGTTCACAACACATGATAAGAGAGAAAAGAAATCAAGGAAAGTATTCCACTTTAGTGACTTCATATGGAGGCAGAATAAAGAGTGAGGATCCTTCCGTATCATTCCACATACAAATGCATTCTTTGACTCTAATCACAAATTAATACTATCCCGACTGAACTGAGTAAACATCTTCTTTTGTCCTTTGAATAAAATAAATAATGACAAAAACAACAAAAAAAACTTTTTTTCTATTCCACAAAATGGCAGCTTAATCTCTAAACTATTTTCTAGTTAATATCCAGTTATTACCAGGATTTTTATGGCAATGGAATGATGAACAAGTACAATTTTGAAGTCCACCGACTAGCCTTTAAAGGTTAAAAAATAAATGTACATTTGAGAAACCTGGGCAAGAACACTTCACAATCACATGTATCGGATATTATGTTTTCAATCTGTGTATTTAATGCAGAATTATTTCAAACATCATAGACTGAATCTCCATTTAGCCATAGCTTTTAACGGCAGTATAAGGACTCTGTAAAACATGGAGAAAAGTCAGTGGTCCATTTCGGTGAACGGCATCACCATCCAGCCACCCGAGTAACCAGAAACCTAAGAGTGAAGCCTGACCTCTCTCCCTCTCCTTCAGCTCACAGCCAGCCCATCACCGAGTCTCCGGCCTCCACACGCTTCTCTCCAGCTCTACCACACCATCCTGGTTTAAACCAGGGTCACCCCTTCCCTGGACAATAAGCATAGCCTTCTATGTAGTCTTCCAGCACTCTTTAACCTTCTGCCAATCCATATGTTCTCTTTGTTGAGGTCAGGATAGTCTTTTTAAAATAAAAATCTGATCACAATCCTCTCAGTCATGCGAAACCTTCAATGGTTTCCCATTATACTCTCAGGATAAAGACCCGGACTCACTGACACACCCTACAAGGCTCTGCATGGTCTGGCCATAGCTATCTCTTCAGCCTCATCCCACAACAGTACGCGCATCATCTCTCTGGCCCTCATCGGCAGGACCCCTACCATATGGCCTTTCCTTCCTCAAACACACCATATCCCCTCCTGACCCAGGGCCTTGGAACCTGCTCTTTGGAATTCAGTACTATTCTCTCTCTTCTTGGCCTAGTTAACGCCTCTTCCTTCAGTCTGCACAGACTCATCACCTCCTCAGGGGAAACTTCTCTCCCGTTATAAGCTCTCATGGCACCGCTGAGCTTGTTTTGGTACCTCTGCATTACTTCACCATTAGACTGTTAGCTCTGTGAAGGCATGAATTGTTTCTATGACCACCTTGGCACAAAGGAAACCTTCAAGAATACTTGTTAAATAATGAACTAAATGGACACAGGATTCCTTGTTTTTTTGTTCAGTTGAGTCACATTTGTTAACCAACTCTCAGAATAATCTCAGCTCTAAGGTGTTGACCACTGCTACAACCATAACATAACAAAACCCCTGCTTTTCCTCCTTTCAGGGTTTTCTTGGCTGTGGACTGAAATTCTTTCAAGGCACACAGTTGCGGCAGATACAGATACAATTTATTATCTGGTCCCCCTGCTCTCCATCCTAGGCTGTTGACCCAAAGTCCTACACGAGCTATGCTGACGAGAGAGTGTACTCTCACAAGGAAGCACAGAAATGTAAGGCCATGCCACCACTTTGTCCACCTGGTTCTTGAACCATGGCAGCACCCCAATTTCTGAATCCAGCCTTCAGATCTTACTACTACATATTAACCTTCCTAAGAGATCTCTGGATTGTCAAGGGAATGGGTTGTATCAAGGTTAGGCTGTGGCTCTGTGATCTCCATGCTTCCTTCTCCAGGCTGTCCTGGAAACTGAGGCAGAATTTCACTCATCTCCAGTTCACCCAAGGAAATCAAAAGACTGACAGCATCACTTTCTTCCCTTGGAAACATACTGCTGCTTCTCCCAGGTACCCAGGGAAGAGGCCACACTGAACCTAAGGCTTAGACGGTGGCTTAGACGGTCAGACACAGTGCTCTGTCACAACACAGAAAGTCTATAAACTTCTCCTCTGGGGAGAGGTAAAGCAGGCTACAAGAATAACCCCTTTGTGCTGAGGAAAAGATTTTCCAGTGTGACTGAATTTCATAACCAAACAGACGAGCACATCATACCTTCACTAAATTCAAGATGATGATGGGGGAGCCAAACCTTTGAAGCATCTGGTCGAAGTGAAGGGCAGCCACATGTGCAAATGGGTCTGCCTGATCCACTGAGGGAGATAAAAAGGATGAATAAATACCAGAATGAAAATCATAAAGCAAGAATAAAAGAAGTATAGGGTTTCATTTTCTTTTTTAATGTTTAAAGAAATGCAATTCAACTAATCTAGTAGTTCCACTTCCCAAGTTCCTCTTGAGCTTATCAGATACTCATTCTTCATGCATTTACTGAATCTGACTGATTCTTACATTTCTGAAGTAAAATACAATTTACTAGCAGCCAAAACAAAAGAAAAATGATAAGTTATTCAATAAAGTTAACAGAAGTCCTTCTTCTAAATTATCTACTTTCCAGTACTAACACTTTGTTAGCATCTAAGAATTTATGGATTTCTGTGACAACAGTTCATCATCTCAAAGTGTGGGTGAAGAGTCATAATTAAAAAGACTGCTGCACGCACATGTAATGGGTGGTTTCGGCATCATAGTTGAAATGTCCTGAGACCAGTATAAAGGGACCGATCCTCTAACTTGGACATAAGAAGAATAACTTCCTGCAGTAAAAGACATCACAGAAGCATCACAGAGTATTTGTTCAGTCTCCACTTCATTTGCAACATCACCCTGAAAAGAAAGGGGGCATTTAAAGATATTTTATGTTCTTAGAATTTTTTAGTGGAAAAAATTTCCAAGTATACAATGAAATTATAATTCCCATCCTTAGAGCATTTTAAAAGAGGTAAATGTTGATCAATATTCAATGTGCACATTAGGAAAGGAAAACCATTAAAATGCAACAAAGAAAGGCAATTAAAAATAGCCGAGAATAGACTAGGAAAAAATCAAATTAAATAGCTAATAATACAAGTAGCAGACAGAGAACAGCTTGAGTGATATAAATGGCAGAGAGGAAGAGAAAAGGAAAACAATTACATGAAATTATACAGGAGGTTAGGAAGGCCAGCGGAATATAAAACTTCAATTCTGAAGACCAGGGAGGAATGAAAGGACAAAAGAGTGAGATTCAAATAATTCCTGACGGACAGAAGGGGGAAAAAAAGGTCTTGAGTTAGCTTGACTTATAAAAGTATAGAAGGATATGACAAAGAATAATTTTAGAGGCATTAATAACATGTCTGCTTGATTATCTGTGAATTATTAAAAAATAGGTAACATAGCAAAATTGTGAATTTTCTTAGGGCACCAGTTATAACTATTTTCATTGTTGATATAATTTTAAGAACGATGTTGCTATTTTAACCCAGGATTCAAACCCAGTGTCTCACTCAATCTGTCTACCCAATCACACATCTGCGTAAGACTCAAGCTGTCTACTGCAAATAGAGATGAAACACTTGGAGGAGATGACATGACTGGTGGCAGGATAGGACTTCTGTTGTGGTTATTTTCCAGGGCCGAGCAGAATAGGAGCCTGCCTGGAGCCCAACTAAAGCAGAGGCGAGGGGGGAAGGGGTTTCCATGCCTCGCTCTACCTTGTCTTCTCATCAAGGATGCATTTCCAATGAGTGCTCCCCTCCACTTACTCCTCTGATGGAGGTGCTTTGCTATTTTAGTCACTACACTAAATATGCACTACATTTTTTCGTATCTTACAGAAATGGCTCATTCTCCAAAACATGAGACATGTCATAACTCCCCACGGCAATGCGTAACTGGCTCTAAGATAGTTGATTTTTCAGAACATCCGTATACTCGTCACATTCCTCACAAGTTTCAGGTACTCCGGAGCATTAATTATTCTCTTGATCATATCCCACACTAAGAAATGCCACTTTCTCGAATCCCACTTGGCTTCCTCTGTCAGCAAGGTTGATGTGAAAGGTTAAGCAGTGCCATTGCTTCTCCACCTTACCTCACAGTTTGCGCCTCTCTTGAGAAAGCGGGTCCCAGCAAACTTACTGGATCTTCTAGCTATTAGAGTCACATAGACTGGTCGTCCGTAGATCAACAGCTCTTAGAAATCAAGTTAAAGCTGTTTGAGCATTCACACTGAACTGTTACACCACACCAAGAGAATCCTTAGACCTTAAATATGCATTTAAATATATCTTGTTCGGAAGGTTAAAGAACACCAAAAAGTTCTACCCAAGAATGGAACAGCATTGGCTCTAACTGTTCTTCCAAATGAAGCAGGTATTAGGGCAAAAACAGGCCTCCCTAAGGAGTGGTTTCCATGAATTTTAGAGGAAGTGGTAAAAAGGTGTAGGGTTAGTGGCCAAGGGAAGACGTGGTCTCTCCTTATCGCCAACTGAAGGATGTAAATGGGTACAACTAATCCTTCTTTAGTCTTCAGAGATCATACACCTCTCAAAGAGACCATATGTCACTTAACAGGGGGTTAAATATGAAGCAATATATAATACTTAGGGAATGGAGTAAGTATAATACTGTAAAAGTTACCCAAATTTGTCACCTAACTGCAAAAACTAAACACTGTGAATTATTTAACTGATATGCAGCTTATCGATTATGTCACCTTATTTAGCTTTCTGAGCCTCAGTTTCATCTTCTGTAAAATGGTGTAAGTACTAGTAAAGTAACTAACTTTATGAGGTGGTTAGGAGGACTAGGTTAGGTAATGTGTGTAAACCAGTGCCTGTCCTATAGTAAGTGCTGAATATATAGCAATTTCTTTTATCACCATAAAGACTTCCGGAATTCATTAAATGCTTGACAGCTAGGAAACTAGTTTCATCATCTAAACTAATGAGCTTTAAAATTATAATCCATGGTGATATTCGCTATTTTAAAAACACAAACATTTACTGTGCTTAATATATGCCTGGCCCTGAGTTAGCCCTTGATGATACAAAACAGTTTAGAACTACCTCTTGGAAAATGCCATTAGAAACTGTAGCACATTCTTCTCGGTGTCCTTGGTGGTGAAAACCTTGTGTTCTTTCCAGGTACATTTCACTTTTGGAAGCAGAAATGGTAATTCAGGGCCAAATCTCATTATTCAGTGAACAAACCAAGCAGATACTACTACTCACTGCTTGGAAATGATTATAAAGTAATGAGGCTTACTTGCAAGTGTAGTGCATAAATCTCACTCATCCTCATTTTAAGCTTCCTTTGTGTCTTCATCTAGCCTCTCTTCTTCCTCATTTGCCAGAAAGAAAGCACCACCGGTCCTCTTTAGGACTAACCTCTCTGGCTATACCCCTTGATCCCACTCCTCCCAAATGTTCTAGTGCAAGAAAAAATATCAGCAACCACGTTTACCCACTTAATGGTCTCAAAACGACCACTCCTTTACAGTTTTCACCATAGGCCTTAAAAAACCGAAGACACAAGAAAGAATGTCAACTGGAAAACAAGCTAGGTGTACAAATGCCCTACATGATCTCAAAAAGGGACAGGAAACAACTAAATACTACTCCTAGAAAGTATACACTGCCTCTCTAAGCCTCATAGCATAATAGCACTTTCTGGAAAGGTTTTAACCATAGGTAGAAATTAAATAAAAGGAAAAAAAGTATTTATAAAATTGAACTCAAAATCAGCTTAACCCAAGGTTCAGCCTACATCTATTTAACCTCTTTTGTCCCTTTCCAATCCAGGACTTTATCACATTATGCCTGGACCACAGCAATCTTTTCCTAACTCATGCCCCCTGTTCTAGTCTCATTTTATTTAATCCAGCTTGAAAATAGGTGTCAACTCAACCTTTCTAAGTACTCCCCTCTACATTACCCTCTTGAAAAAAACTTTCAAATGTTCAGGCACCAAACCCAAAATGCTTACTCAGTCTGACCACCAAAGCAATCTGGTGACTTGCAATCTGACTCCCCACAACCCACTACATTGCTACCTCCCAAGGATTTTACACCCAAGGCAGAACACTCCCATGAACTTTTCTACCCTTACACTCATGGTGCTTTCCCCACCTAGGAGTTTGCTCCCTGCTTCCTGCTAAGGTCTGACTAAGGTGGGGAGGATGGGGCAGGCCAAGCCTGCCTTTTCCTATGAGCCTCCCCCATCCTCCCCACCCGTCAGTGAATCTGCTCCTCCTCTCAGGTATGAATGATACTTATTGCCTATATCACTTGCTATGCACATAGCATTTTCTTTCCTGATGTTTATCTTTCTGTGTACATAAGAGATCTGTTCAAATGATCTGCATACCTCTTTGTATTTCCACTATCTGATATCATCAGTAAGTTTTCCTGCTGGGTGCACAGAATGGTAATTAATAATCTTATAATTCCTATACAGTCTTCTACAGATTGATACAGCATAAGTTTAATAATATATACCTTAGTTTTTTTTAAAAAAGGATACTTGACTGCCCACAGAACCCATGAATAATATACAACAGCCAGTCACGATGCACAGTATTTTTAATTATATCCAGAAGTTCACCGTTCCACACATACTTCATATAAGGCTCACTAGAGATCCCAAATACACCTGAAAAATAAAAGTTGGTACCAGAAATATAAGGAAATTGGTCTATATTCATCTTTAAGTTTTTGTTTTTAACTTCAAGATAAAATGCCTGATTAACAGAATTGCCATTTTCAGTGGATATAACTCGTATCATCACCCAGAACACTGCGCTGATTCTGTACAAAGTAAAAGAATAAACACATTTTTCTGATTTGTGAGAGTTTTTTAACCTAAGAGGAAAGTAAACAAGAGGGATATTAAGGACACATGGACAAATACATGACTAAGGCTGACAGATAGCATCGGGCAGCGGCTGGAAGCACTGCTCCGGGGTCCGAGTGCCTGGGTCCAAATATGGGCCCTGACTCTCGTCAGCAGGGTGACAGCTGTGACCAAGAGTGTTACTTACTACCTCAGTGCCCATTTGCTCATCTGTACCTGTATCATGTGGTTGTTGTAAAGATGGTAATGTTGGTAATGCACACAAAGTGCTTCGAACAAGCCTGGTGCCTTACTGATACTTCTGTAAGTGGTAGTTACTATCATATCAGGCTTTTTCTATATGAAGAAATTAATTTCACCAAACATCATTTCAACATATCCAGATACATTTATTAAACACTGATGAGTTTTACAAAACTTATATAAAGGGCAAAATGAGAAATAAGTATGATTATGGCTTAAAAGACTGTAACAGTGGGACGCCTGGGTGGCTCAGTCGGTTATGTGTCCAACTCTTGATTTCAGCTCAGGTCATGATCTCAGAGTGCTGAGATCGAGCCTTGGGCCAGGCTCTAAGCTCGGTGGGGAATCTGCTTGAGGATTTCTCTCCCTCTCCTTCTGCCCCTCCCCCTGCTCATGCCCATTCTCTCTCTCTCTCTCTCTAATAAATAAATAAATCTTTTTTTAAAAAAAGACTGTAACAGTTCTGGATAGCAGGCTATTTTTCTTCTCAAAACATGGTATGTTAAGAGTGTTTATATACTGTGTCAAATACACTTGGTTTGATTCCTAAAAACTGAACCTTCTCTGCCCTTTCAATGCTTTACACAGAGCACAAATAGTACACACAAGAACTAGAGTCCTGTTTTTGCCACTTACCAGTCTCTGTAACCTCTGGCAAGTTACTTAACATCTCTGAACTTCAATTTTCTGAACTGTAAAACAATGCTACTACTATTCACCTCAGAGATATGTTCAGATTAAATAATACATGCAAAGTGCACTGCTAACTCTGCACCCACATCTTCATCACTATTATTCAGGTTGCACAGAGCAAGGTGTCCGAGACATTGTTGACTTACTATGTTTCCAAAGTATATCCAAGTCAGCTAAACGGCTTTAAGTCTGAAATGATTCCTTCACAACATTGATTTTAGCAATGCCTCAGGCTTTAAAGTTCTAGGCCAACCCAAAAATCTAGGGATAAAGGTAACCATCCTGTTGTGTGACTGGTTCATTTAGGATCTCCAGGATGACCCCCACATGTGGCCCTGCAGTGATCCTACAGGGGTCCTGACAGAAGCAAGGCCTATGAGGGACACCTGGGTCAAGTTGGGACCAATCAAAATAAGAACCTCTGACCCGCTGCATTGGTTCCTTGGCACATTGGCCATGTGATCTTAATCTCTATGCCTCAGTTTCCTACTTGGTCTTTATTTCTTTAAAAGTGGCATCATACCAACTGAGCAGAGTTTTTATAAGAATTAGAGATATTGTAGTAAATTTCTAGGACACAAGAGATCATCCATGGTGAATTTTTGCTAAAACTCTCTATGAAGGAAAATAAGGTGGTGGTGTGTATTCTCCAATATTCAAAAAAACCAATTCTCCATTCAAACTTCACCAAAAGCCTAGACCTAAATGTATTCCATTAAAAATACATGAATATTTGCTAGGAAATGTCAGCATACAATTTTCTGGCTGGCCCACAAATGAAATCACATCGTAATTAATGAGCTCTATAAAAATGAATTGGTCAAGTTTATATATCCAAAACAACCTCATATAAGGACACAGAGCAATAAGGGACAGAGAAATATGAAGGAAATGTGAGTTAATTTAATGAGATGCCATTTCACGGATGCCATATTAACCTACATTAGATGTGCTGAAAACCACCTACCGCTTCCACCCTGTGTAATTAATCCTTCATCTTCAAAGATGTCGAAACTCTCCTGGCGAGGCTGGGTTGTTTCTGACTTTAACATCTCCAGGGGCATTCGCAAGACAGTGAGATTATACTGAAGTGAGTGGGACAGATCATAGCTGTAACTGAGAACATAACTGAAACTTAATAAGAATTATAAAAGCAAAACACATTTCAGTCTTGGCTCCTATATGGAATTAAAAACTGAACCACCTTAGCACCCATTCAATTACTTGGAAGCAAAACCATTCAAATAAACACTATAAAACACAGTAAACCATGAATATAATTAGAAACTTAAAAATCACTACATTCTCAAAAAATTAAAAATAGAAATACTATACAATCCAGTACTTCCAGTTCTGGGTATTTACCCAATGAAAACAGAAACACTAATTTGAAAAGATATATGCACCCCTATGTTTACTGCAGCATTATCTACAATAATCAAGATATAGACATGGAAGCAACCTAACTGTCCACTGATAGATGAATGGATAAAGAAGATGTGGTATATCTATACAATGGAATATTACTCAGCCATTAAAAAAATGAGCTCTTGCTATTTGCAACAACATAGATGGACCCAGAGGGCATTACACTCAGTGATATACATCAGACAGAGAAAGACAAATACTGCATCATTTCACTTATATGCGGAATCTAAAAACCAACACAAACAAACAAACAAACAAACAAAAAACAGAAATAAACTCACAAATACAGAGAACTGGTGGTTGCCAGAGGGGAGGGGATGGGGATGGGCAAAACAGGTAAAGGATATCAGGGGGTACAAACTTCCAGTTATAAAATAAGTCACAGGGATGAAAAGTACAGCACAGGGAATATAATCAACTATATCGTAATAATGTTGTATGATGACAGATGACTATATTGTTGTGAACACTGAGAAATATATAGAATTGTCAACTCACTATGTTGTACACCTGAAACTAACATAATATGGTATGTCTACTATGCTTCAATTAAAAAAATCATTGCATGACTTAGGCATTTGCACAATTAGAAATATACAATACAACGCGAATGATCAACATTCACTGACTTGCAATTTGCATTTTTTGCTTCACAGTGAAATCACTTTAACTTCACAGCCTTGTGCAAAGGGGTCACACTCTCATACATATCTGAATGGAGTTCCACAGATGTTACAATATCCACAATATGCAATAGTACACAGTCTGTACTCTAGTTTACATATCAACAAAAATAATTCTATTAATTATTAGTGGCAGTACCATAATCGACTTCATAATAAAACAGGAATAAGCAATTAATACAAGCCATTACAATAAAACATGTTTTAGGAGAGTAACAACCATCCAAAAAGTTATAACAGTCTTTGCAAATAAAATTTGGCCTTGAGGCCAAAAGAAACCTATTTTACAATCCTGATTTCACATAATTAATAATTTTTAAAGTATCTCTAGCTATACATTTTAGCACAGAATTTCAGAAGGTATCTAGAATTCTTTAGATTTACACAAATTCATAAAGTACTTTAGTAATATTTTAAGGTGGTTACAATTTTGCCTGGAGACTTACATATTATTTCAATTATTATTTCTTCTTTAATTTATTCATATAATTTGATTGAAATTAATCTGTTTCATCTGTGAAATTCAATTTTACCATATTTGCTAGATGGAGCCATTAATTTTACTAGCATCTAATTTCAGGGATAAATACTGTATTAAGACATTGACTTTTCAATCACATTTACAATAACATCAAAAAATAAAATACTTAGGAATAAATTTAACCAAGGAGGAGAAAGACCTTACACTGGAAATTTATAAAATACTGATGAAATAAACTGAAGACACAAAAAAATGGAAAGATACCTCATGTTCATAGAGCAGAAGAATTAATGTTGTTTAAATGTCTATACTACCCAAAGCCATTCATAGATCCCTATCAAAATTCCAATAACATTTTTCACAGAAATAGAAAAAACAATCCCAAAATTTGTATGGAACACAAAAGACCACTAATAGCCAAAGCAATCTTAAAGAACAAAGATGGAGGCATCACACTTTCAGATTTCAAACTTTTTTACCAAGCTACAGCATTCAAAGTAGCATGACATAAAACAGACACATAGATCAGTGGAACAGAACTGAAAGCCCAGAATAAACCCATGCATAGAGAGTCAACTATTTAGCCAGGGAGCCAAGAAGACACATGCAGAAAGGATAATCTCTTCAATAAATAGTGCTGGGAAAACTGGATACCCATATGCAAAGAAAGAATTGGACCCTTGTCTTACACCATTCACAAAAATTAACTCAAGATGGATTAAATATTTAAATATAAGACCAAAAACTATAAAACTACTAGATGAAGACAAAGGGGAAAAGCTCTTTGACATTGCTTTTAGCAAAGATTTTATGGATATGACACCAAAAACACAAGCAACAAAAGCAAAAATAAACAAGTGGGACAACAGCAAACTAAAAAGTTTCTGCACAGGAAAAAAAAAAGTTAACAAAATAAAAAGGCAACCTATGTAAAGGGAGAATATATTTACAAACCATCTATCTGATCAGGAGTTAATATCCAAAATACATAAGGAACTCATAAAACTCAAGAGCAAAACATAACAAACAAACAAAAAACCCCAAAATCCAATTTAAAAGGGGCAAAGGACCTGAATAGACATTCTTCCAAAGAAAATGGCCAACAGATACGTGAAAAACTGTTCATCATCACGTCAGGGAAATGCAAATTAAAGCCACAATGAGATAGCAACTCATACCTCCTATAATGGTTATTATCAAAAAGATAAGAGACACACGTTGGCTAAGCTGTGGAGAAAAAGGAACCCTTGTGCACTGTTGGTGGGAATGAAAATAGGTGCAGCCACTATAGAAAACAGTATGGAGGTTCCTAAAAAATTTAAAAATACAACTACCATATATTCCAGCAGTCCCACTTCTGAGTATATAGCCAAAAGAAATGAAATCACCATCTTGAAGAGATATATGCAGCCCCCTGTTGACTGTAAGCATTATTCACAATAGCCAAGACATGGAAACATCCTAAGAGTCCAGCAATGGATGAATGGATATAGGATATTACTCAACCATAAAAAAAAGAAGGAAATCCTGCTATTTGCAATAACATGGGATGGAATTTGAGGGCAGTATGCTAAGGGAAATAAGTCTAATTATTTCTGTATGTTCTTCACTTCTATGCAGAACCTAAAAAAGCCAAACTCATAGAAATTGAAAGTAGAATGGTAGTTGCCAGGGGCTGGGGCACGGGAAAAGGGTAGGGTGGGAAAAATGGGAAGATGTTGCCTACATGGTACAAACTCCCAGCTATAAGATAAATAATATCTGGGGATCTAATGCATAGCATGGTAACTGTAATTAACATTAATGAATTATAACTTGAAATCTGTTGAGAGTACATCTTGAATGTTTTTAACACACACACACACACATAATTATGTGAGGGGATGGAGGTGTTGACTAACCTTATTGTAGTAATCATGTCACAATACATATGTGTATCTAATCATCACGCTGTACACCTTAAACTTACAGATGTTATATGTCAATAATATCGCAGCAGGTGGCGGTGGGGGGAGGATGTTGATTTTTAACTTTTAAAAATCAATTTTTCCGTTAGAATAATTGCTTTATTCCAGCCTAATCTTAAGAATGTAGTATATCCTTTTTTAAGCTTACTTATTAGACACAAAAATCATAACTGACATACTTTTACTTCTGGGATGACTTGATCCCAGAGCTCAGTATGGGGATGCAAATGAAGTTGAAATCGTGAAGACCATTTCTAACAGTACCACCAAGTTTCAGTAACAACTTGCAGATGCTATAAACATAAAATTAAGCAATAAAGACAGAAAAGCAGATGACTGAGATAAACATAATGGAAATAAACATTCAATAAACATTTGTGAAAGTGAAAATGCTTTCTTTAGGAACCCTTCACTAGACCACTGCTAAAATAATGAACTTCCTTCAGCTTCACAACAATGAAAACATAACCCATTCTACATAGTAAACATGTTTTTATTTCACAGATAAATAAGTGGTTAACTGTACAAACAACTTAAAAGTAAATTTAAAATAATGCAAGTACCCCATCAGTGCATAGCACCAATAGCTACAACACTCTAAGCCCTTGTTTGATCCTTGGGACTCAAGTCCTTTTTGGTGCATGCTATTTTGTGTTCTCCCTTTTTAGTTTGGATATTACAGCTGACAGAATTTTCCATTTAGCACAATAACTGCATCTCCTAGGCCTACATATTGGCCACATCAGTGGTGGTATAATACTCTATCTTAATGCACTGTTAGAATTTACTTGCCCATCATTCAGTTACTGGTATTTGAGTTGTCCCTGCATTGGCTGGTTTGCTGGTTTGGGACTATCATAAATAGAGAAGCTATAAATGTCTCTTTATAAGTAGGAATTAATATTTTCTCTCCTAATTTATTTTCTTAGGATATGTTTTCATAAATGCTTTATGCCACATTCCTCTTCAGGAAAACATTAATTTACAAGATCATTAGCGGTATGTTGGTATTATAACAATTCTTTCTATTATGGATTTATTTCTACCTAATTTTGCTAGATTGTTAACTAAAACAATCTGTGAAATTGTTACAACTCTGTATTAGAAACTGAATGCAAATTTCATTCATGTAATTAAAAATTACAAGACTATTTCATTAAAATCCTACCTAAAACAAAGATGATTTTTATAGTGAGAATACTTCCCCTGTAATTTGTCCATTCAATATTCAAACATCAGATTTTTAAAAGGAAGAAATACCTGTATCTTTATGTTTTTAGATGAAATCGTTTGACCGATTAAAAAAATAGAGGAAGTAGCACTGTGTCCTCTGATTCTGTTTTTCCACCCCGGAAAATAATATAAACACATTTCTCCTGTCAGTCAGGAGAAACTAAGTTCAAACTTACCTAAAGTAAAAATTGCTAGATAGGTCCACATTTTGAAAGATTCGTAGATACCTAAAAAAAAGCAAAATAAAAAAACAAAAGCATATTACAGTCACACAGTACTATTATTTTTTCATAGCTTGACATAGACATTTATACTTGTAAATGCTCTCATTTAAACTGAGGAATTCAGGGGCTCCTGGCTGACTCAGTCAGTAGAGCATGCAACTGATGATCTCGGGGTTGAGTTCAAGCCCCATGTTGGGTACAGAGATTACTTAAAAATAAAATATTAAAAAAAAAACACAAACTGAGAATTCAATCCAGAACTGCAGTAGGGATTTCATCTGAAGCAATTTCTAAGTCTGTTGATTGTCCCTTCAGAGTCCCTTAACTTTACAGTTTGACCATTTCCTCATCACTGATCATGCCAGAGAGGGAAAGTCATGCACTTACATGTGTGGAGAACTTAGACTCGGGGCAAGAAGTAAACACCATTCTTGTTACTATTATGTGCTTTGTAAATGCTGTGAGGTTGGAGAGGAGAGTAGCAAAAATAAGCAAAAATGTTTACAAAAACCATAATTTTAAATTGCAAAGTTTGCAACTGAAAAAAATGTACAGAATAAAATATCTGTATATCTACCCCTCAGGATTAATAAATGTTAACATTTCTTTCATATTCTTTCAACTTTTTAAAGACCTTTGATCACAAATGGGTACTGAATTTGTCAAATATATTTTCTACAAATATTAAGATGATCGTAATTTTTCCTAGCAATATTTTAATGTAGTGAACTGCTCTAGCAAAATTTTCTACTGTTGATACAACCATGCATGGCAGGAATAACCTCAACTTGTCATTATATATGAAATATTTAGTAGTACTGTATTTTCTTTCCTAATATTTTACCAAATCTTTTTTTAAGTTTATTTATTTTTTTAGTAATCTCTACACCCAACATGGAGCTCAAACTCATGACCCTGAGATCAAGAGTCACACGCTCTTCCAAATGAGCAAGCCAGGCACCCTACCAAGTCTTTTTACTTAAATGAATTATTATATTATATAGTTTTATAAATATGTTAAAAGTTTTACCTATCTAGTAAAAGTACTTCAGTCTACCTATAACAAGCTATTAATATAATTTTATCTTATTCCGGATAATGTCCAGTGCTACACAGTATGAATTCCAAAATAATTTCACTCTCTAAAGGAAGTCAAATCACTACATAGAACAACATAATTTGTTTTACTACTCCTGGCTAAAGAATCATAAAGATGAGGTTTATAAATAATATAAACCTTTTCAACTTTTTCCCATTCCTTGGATTCATATGCGCTGATCGGATTCACTGTTTTAAAAAAATTTATTACTGAAGTGTAGTTGACAAAAAATGTCATATTAGTTTCAGGTGTACAACATGGTGATTCGACAATTTTATACATTACTCAATGTTCACCATAGTAAGTATACTTACCATCTGTTGCAATAAAACATTATTATAATATTATTGACTATATTCCCTATGCTGTACTTTTCATCTTCACGACTTATTTCATAACTGAAAGTTTGTACTTCTTAATTCCCTTCACCTCTTAATTGTACTTCACTTAATTCCCTTAATTCCCTTCACCTATTTCGCCCATCCTGCCACCCCTTCCCTCTGGCAACCACAAGTTTGTTCTCTGTATTCATGAGTCTGTTTCTGTTTTTTGGTTTGTTATTGGTATTGTTTTTCAGATTCCACATATAAATGAAATCATATGGTATTTGTCTTTCTCTGTCTGATTTATTTCACTTATAGAAAGAACTGCAAGAGCTCTTTCTCTTTATAGCTGAGTAATATTCCATTGTGTGTGTTTTTGTGTGTGTGTGTGTACCACATTTTCTTTATCCATTCATCTACTGATGGATACTTGGGCTATTTCCACATCTTGGCTATTATACATAATGCTGCAATAAACACTGGGGTGCATATATCTTTTCAAATCAAAGTTTTTATTTTCTTTGGGGAGTACCTAATTCAATTTTAGTTAATATACCATGCCTGCCTGTAAACTATGTGAGATATAATTTTTTTCAGTTAGTGTAAGACAAAGGACCATTTTATCTGTTAAATTCTTATTTTCATCTATGAAACAGATTATTTTTTGGGCGCCTGGGTGGCTCAGTTGGTTAAGCGACTGCCTTCGGCTCAGGTCATGATCCTGGAGTCCCGGGATCGAGTCCCGCATCGGGCTCCCTGCTTGGCAGGGAGTCTGCTTCTCCCTCTGACCCTCCTCCCTCTCATGCTCTCTGTCTCTCATTCTGTCTCAAATAAATAAATAAAATCCTTAAAAAAAAAAAAAAAAAAACAGATTATTTTTTAACAACCCCACTTCCAAATATAATCAAAGACAGTATCACCAGAGTCCAAAACCTACGAATCTAAGGGGGCCTTAAGCAAGAGAGACACACCACCTTTAAATTTTGGTTTGTGTATATAGAACAACACTATAAAAGTATAGAGTGTAATTAAAATCTAAACTTAAAAACTAATAAGGGGTACCTGGATGGCTCAGTCAGTTAAGCATCCAACTCTTGATTTTGGCTCAGGTCATGATCTCAAGGTCATGAGATTGAGCCCCATGTTGGGCTCCATGCTGGGGGTTGAGCCTGCTTGAGATTTTCTCTCCCTCTCCCATTGCCCCTCCCCCACTCTCTCTTTCTTAAAAAAATTACTAAAAAAAGAAAAAAAACTAATAAGCATGCCTAACTTTGTTCCGTTTTAACCCTTATGCTTATAATAAATATATTTATGTATTAAAATAAATCAATTCTACTCTTTATCAACTTATTAATAGACTTTTCCCACATTCCCAAGGCTCCGATAATTTTCCTCCAAACAAATCTACAGAAAAATTGGAAGGAAAAACAGTACAATAAATACCAGTATGTCCTTCATCTGAATTCACTGTTAAATCTCTCTCACACACATATACATTCTCTCTCTTTAAATGCACAAGTTACATTTTATTTTCCTAAACCATTTTCAGTAAGTAGCAGACATGATGACACTTCACTCCTAAATATGAAAAAACAAAATCTCTTAAATAAGAATATCATTTTTACACTTAAAATTTAATATTGATTCAATATCACCTGGCATATTATCCACATACAAAATGTCCTCATAAACTTCTTTATAGCTATGTGTGTGGGTGTGTATACATGCCTCCGTTATACATTTTTCTTTTTAAAGATTTTATTTATTTATTTGATAGAGAGAAATAGTGAGAGAGGGAACACAAGCAGGGGGAGTGGGAGAGGGAGAAGCAGGCTCCCCGCCAAGCAGGGAGCCCCATGTGGGGCTCGACCCCAGGACCCCGGGATCATGACCCGAGCCGAAGGCAGACGCCCAACTGACTGAGCCACCCAGGCGTCCCTCTGTTATACATTTTAATCCAAGATCCAACAGATATTCAGGTGCTGCATTTGGTTGTCATGCCTGTTCTAAAATCTAGCAGTCCTTTGGCTTTTTCTGTCTTTGATGACATTGACATTTTTAAAGAGTCCAGGCCAGTTGTCTTACAGAATGCCCCACAAGGATGGATTTGTCTGATTATTTCCCATGCTTAGATTTAGGTTAAATGTTTTTAGTGAAGTATTGTCAGAGGGGAGGATGGGTGAAATAAGTGAAGGGGATTAAGAGATACAAACTCCCAATTATAAAATAAGTCACAGGCATGAAAAGTATAGCACAGGGAATATGGTTAATAATATTATAATAACGTTGTATGGTGACAGATGGTAACTGCACTCACTGTGGTAAGCACAGCATAATAAAACAAAAATACATATATTTTTAGCAAGAAAACTACACAGGTAATCTGTGTCCTTCCTGCTGCTTCATATTGAGAGGCAAATAATGTCAGTTTTTTCTCATTATTGGTGATGCTAAGTTTGAACATTTGGGTAATTATGTTTGCCATTTTTTTTTCTTTGTAAATAAAGAGATTCATGGAGTATATGTTGAGACTGAGTGAATATTCTGTTCCTCAATGATAACATCTCACCTAATGGCTTTAGCTGCTTTTGCTGATTTTTACCTAAATCAATGTTATAATGGAGCTTTATAATAGAGTTTGAACAAAATTATAGAATTCTGAGCTAGTACTTTACATTTTTAACATAACATCTATAATCTTTTGAGTATATTTTGTCTTCTAATTGGTCTATCACATTAAAAAAAAAAAACAAAAAAACAGAAGTTACCACCACTACATACCGAGCTTCATCAGGATGAGTAATTCGTACAGAATCATTAGGTATATAGATCATATTTGTATCTTCAATCTTATATATTGCATGACCTCCAATATCTGCCATCTTCCTCCTTTTAGTTATTAACACAATGTAATAGCCTTCTAAAAACCTGACAAAACCTACACAAAAGAGAGACAAATATAATGTTTCCTATGCTTAGTAATGCTTTTAGATACATATTTGGAAAGTAGAAGATCTTTGACACATTTCCTACTTTATTTCTATGATTTATAGCTATACAAATTTTCAGTCATATTATAATCTCTAGAAATATCTATACTGACATTTATCTCACTTAAAAAATATCATTCTAAACAATTTTATTTTATTCATTCTTTTACATTTAGTCTCATTCCAAATAGGATTGAGATGCTTTAAGCAAAAACATACACAAGATTAAGGGGAGTTGTTATTTAATAGGTATAGAGTTTCATTTCACAAGATGAAAAAGTCCTAGAGATCTGTTGTACAAGGCACATATAGTTAACACTACTGTACTGTACACTTAAAAATGGCTAAGATTGTAATATACATGTAAAATAAATCAATATATATACTAGTAAAAAGTATATAAAAACAAACAGAAAACCAAATAAGTTCTCAGAAACTTACAGAACTGTGCTAACATGCACTGTGAACCTCGATGGGGGATAAAGATTAAGCACCTCTCTAGACTCATTTAATCATGGAACCTCATCCTATTTTTTAAAAAGAAATTAACCAATGAATAAATGTTCTGAGGAACATACTTTGGGATAACTCAAAAGTTAGAACTACACAGACTCTTGATTACTAGTGGCAAAACCTAACTTGAGCCAGCTTTAAAAAAAGGAAATTTATAATAAGGATACTGAGGTGATCCATGACACCAAAGGGCAACAATATGGTTGGGCCTCAGAAAAACACCTAGTCAAGAAGCATCTCTGAACATGTGCTCTATTCTTGTCTCTCTCCATAGACTAGCCTCCTCCACAGACTAGCCTCCTCCATTTCTCTGGGTGATGTGGTGGGAAACATAGCTCCTAATAGTTCCAGGCTTTATATGCAAAAGCTTCACTGGGAAGAAACAACTTTTTTTATCAAGTTCAATTCCAGAATTCCTAGGGAAGGACTTGGACTGGCCTAACTTGGGTTGGGTGCCCAGCCCTGGACCAATCAATAGTTGCCAAGCTATAGAATCACACTGCACTGGAAGCCATTTATACAATAACTAAGTAACTTAGATGGAGCAGGGAGAGGTGGTGCCAGATCCCAGAAAAGTGGATGGTTTCAGCAAACAATATATCCAGTAAATTGCATATCCTTCATGCAATCTTCCACAAGTATCATTTGTGATAGTTAAGCTTTTTATGAATGTTGGAGAGTTATAAAGTTATATTTTATGTCAAATCATTGGAGAACACAAATGTTGTACATTTCTTTAACACATGGTTAAAGAAAGACCATATATATTATGTTCAAAAGCACTAAGTTCTCAGCAACACACCAATTACTCTATAGTCTTGGTTAAAAAATTTTTGGCTCCCATAACTTTTGTTTTGGGAGTGAAAACTAACTCCCTTTGGGGGTAGGCGTCATTTCCAAAATGGCAACATGAGGAGCCCAGCAGAACTTCTCTCCAGTAAAACAAACATAACTGGTGAAATTTATAAAAACAAAACAAAACTGAAGTTTCTGGGAACTGTCCTAATGGCATATAGCAAATGGAGAAATATTTATTCAAGAAAATCTACTAAACCTTGATAAGAACAACAAGTGTGTGGTATCTGAGTCATAACCTGCTTCTCTCCCAGTCCAGTGTGACAGAATATCTACTCCCGGCAGGAGTAGCCAAGAAGATAGTGCTTTCCCTTCTCTCCCCACTTCTCAGTCTAAGGCCACGGTTTCTGCTCAGAAGGTGCAGGCCACCAGAATGTCTCATCTGTCTCCAGCTCATTGTTAACTGGAACTCTATTCCCAGGCAAGTCCCTCTGGGATCAGGGGCTTCCTTCTTCTCCCCAGCTCCTACTCATAAAATGGAGGCTCTACCCCAGCAGGACTGGTCAAGAATACTGGGTCTGCATTGCCCTCACCCTAGCTCACTCATATAGTGAGTCAGATGAAATCATATAGCTGACTTCCCATCAGAAACATCGGAGGCCACAAGGCTGTGGGATAACATATTCAAAGCATTGAAAGAAAAAAACCTGTCAACCAAGAATCTTATATCTAGCATAACTATCTTTCAAAACGAACTTTCTCATGTGCACATGTGCATGTGCTCATGCACCCTTGCACTCTCTCTCTGTTTCTCTCAGAATGTTATATTCTATAAAGTCTGAGCCAGGATCCTGATGCTATGAATTTTTGCTCTAGAAGTGACAAATTCCCACTGTGTCTTGTTATTCTCGGCTGACAAAAAAAGGAAACTAGTAATTGACTATATTAACATAAATGAGCTAAAATATGTAAGAAAAAGATGCCTCAAGGATTTTATGAGCCAGACTACTGAGGAAAAGATGCCGTTAAAATAGTGAAAAATACTTGTATTTTAGAGACCCACAAAGCACAAACTGCTTTAAAAATGTTCATTTATTCCTTTCTTTGCCTTAGAGACTAGCAAAAAATTCCCCGATTAAAGATAAAGGACATAGGAATAGGGAAGAAAAAAAGCTGATGACGATCTCATTAAAAGCAAGTTAGAAAAAAGCTATCCTTTTAGAAGGATAAAACTTATAAAAGTAAAGCCCTTGGAAGCAGCATAAAAACACTCAAGGGCTTAAATAATAAGTATTTCCAAAATGAATGAGTTTTCCTTTTATTTTTGTTATACTTACTTTTTATACAAAAAAATCTCTGCAATAATTTCTCAACCTACATTCCAACTGAATTTTAATTTTATGTTTTTAGCTCAAGACTATTTATACCATCCTACCTTTCTCTTCATAATTTGAATAAAGGGAAGCAAATATATTGCACAAAAGAGACTCTTCTACCAGCACAAATGCCTTCAGCTTATTATAAATGAAATTATTTTCTTCTTCCTTTTTACTACCAATGGGAATTGTCGCTCTCTTTTTTAAAAGTTCCTATTAAAGATTGCCAACAATTAAAAGACTTTAGTGTGGCACAGTCATCTGCCAGGAGTTAGCCTATTTAACACACTAAAATAAGAACAAGATTTTTCATCTTCATTCTGTGTACTTCTGACCCCAGACCAATTTCACTGAGTACTTCCAAGAAGCCAAGATGACAGTCATCATGAAAAAGTGATTTGTCTCTCTCCAAGTAGAGAAGGCTGTTTCATTTGAAATGGACACCAAGCAAAGTATATAAAAAAGGACAGTGTAAGAGGATGTAGTGGGAGTGCTGGTGGCTAGAGAGGACCCCACCAGTCCACCAACAGTGAAGAATGCAATATCCCTGCTTCAGGGGTCACCATGCCAGCTAGTCATTATCTTAAAAGCTTTCAGGGAGAATAGCACTCTGGCAGAGAAACATGAAAAACCTCCACAAGGTACATAGGACCTTTGTACAACAGAGCCCTCTAGAACCAAAGTGACTCTCTAACACCACATCTACTGCTCCCTCACTAGCCTGAGGCTCACACTTTGTTGTTGTTGTCTTCATTATTATCTTGGATCTGCAATCCATTTCTAAGAGTGTTGCTTTAAATAACAACTGAGTCCATCACTTAGTCGGCTACAATGATACTTATTCTACCACTCCCCCTCAACATACTAGCAGCTTAAAAGACTATCCTCTGACAGGTGAAATAGGCAGAAAAAGGCCATAAACCTGAAGCTATATACCAAAAGGGTCTGGGATGGTCACAGAGCTAAGTCTAGTGAAGACTACAAGTAACCAGGGGCACCTGGGTGGCTCAGTCGGTTGAGCATCCAACTCTTGATTTCAGCTCAGGTCATGATCTTAGGGTTGTGAGAATGAGCCCCACATCGGGCTCCATGCTGGATTCTCTCTCTCCCTCTGCCCCAACACCCCCTTCTCCCCCTCTCTAAAAAAAAAAGAAAGAAAGAAAGAAAGAAAAAGACTACAGGTAACCATCCACTGACTCCATCCATGTGTCCCAAGACCATATAAAACCACTTTAAGAGGGATGCTCATGATCCCATTCAGTGGTTTCCCAAACCTCCTGCTGGCCATCAAATAACAATGAGGCAAAAATGTACAAGGTAGACAAATGTCCCATGTCTAGGGACCAGCAATGATCCGTGAGCTTTTCATGGGTACTAAACCCATGAAAAGACAAGTAAATAAAAGGTAAGAGTTTAGAAACTTTAGAGCAATTTGAGATTGCTACAACATCCAAGCACATGACCAATGAACTTGCCTTGAATAGGGCATAGACTAGTTTGGGGATTACTGAACTTGTAATTGTAACATGATGTGTCACATGTGGTCCAAGCTGCAGACCAGTTATGTACAGTAGGATCATGTGTTGGTCTCTGACATATTGGTGGAAAAAATCTGGTCCATTACTACAGATAACTGAGACTCGCTGCTCTAGATTCTTACAGATGATGAACTAAATTAAGCATGATAATTGTCTAAACACATTCCAGCAAAATACTATTCACAAATTAAGCATGCTGAAAAAGTTAACTGAGAAAATATTTTGGCCACAGAATAGAAGGCAACCATTCTAGTCATTTCTCGTACGCATTATTCTGACAATCAGACTATACATTTTTCAAAGACAGGCATTTTGTGTTTTGTTATTAGGTATCCCTCATTGTTTCTAAGACAGTATTTACTAGACAAATCATAGACTTTCATTAACTCCCTATTTACTCTTCACTCATTCTAAGCTTTATTTACATGGTTGAACAAGAATACAAAAAAATACATTTCCATAAAAATAATAAATCCTTACATAGTACATTATTGTGTCACTTTACTGGTAGGTCAGTATTTCAGTGACTTCATTACCCAAGGACAGTCTCAATCCTACGAAGCCTCTAACCGTAAGAGAAACAGCTACCACAACACCTAAGAATGTCACCTCTCAGAGAAACAAGACACCTTCAGCTCTCACCCAAAGTTTACTAACTAATACTTGTGTATACAATAAATAACTGGTTACAAACCTAGTTATCAATTGATAAAAATCAAGCTTCTGGTCTCACAAGTTTAGTTATCAATAGATTTAAAATGACGCAAAGAATACTGCTAGAAACAACTATGCCAAGAACAATGAAGGATGACTAAAGAACCGTAAAAACAAAACAACAGAGCAGTCTAGAAGCCATTTTACGTAAAGGCAAACTACCCAATACAACTCCAGAATACCCAAGGGCAGCTATTTTTAAACGGGTTCAATAACTGATCTTTGTTACTCTTAATCATCAAGGAAGGTTCAATTTTGGATAATAAACCCTGGCTAATGAGGCATTCAATATTACATACACCTTAGGAAATTTCCACTTGAAAAAGTTTATTAATAAAGTATCAGCATTTAAAGAAATAAATTTAACCTAATAAGTAACTAATACTGAAATTAAACCTACTGTATTTAACACACATTGTATTTCCAGGTTTTTTTAATTTAAAATATATGCAGGGGTGCCTGGGTGGCTCAGTCAGTTAAGTGTCTGCCTTTGGCTCAGGTCATGATCCCAGGGTCCTGGGATCAAGCCCTGCATCGGGCTCCCTGCTCCGCGGGAAGCCTGCTTCTCCCTCTCCCACTCCCCCTGCTTGTGTTCCCTCTCTCACTGTCTCTCTCTCTCTGTCAAATAAATAAATAAATAATCTTTAAAAAAAATTTAAAAAAAATAAAATATATGCAACACTTAAAGTGGAACTTAACACTTAGAGAATTTATGGAATTTGAACACATGAACTCACTTGACATCCATCTACAAGCACTTATCTGTTGAATATATAACTTCAACATACTTGTCAAGACTGAGCAGAAAATGTAGAAAAGGGGCCAGTCCTAAGAAGAAACTAAACCTACCTACCACTCTTGACCTTCCCTGACAGCCACCTAGACACAAAATAGACCTGAAGGGATTACATATGAAGAGCTCTGAGAGCACATTGAGAAAAACTTCAAATACGGCAGAACGTAACCAAAGTTTTAACAAATACAGAGTCACAAAATAGAAAGTGCTAATCAGAAAAATGCAAGAATTTGAAACTATACAGCATAGTTAAGTCCATATTAATTTTGTTAACATCTATAGATACCAATCAGTCAACACTGCATACAGTGTGGCAGGTTTAAAAAATACAAAGATAATATTGTTAAATGTTTAAAAAAATCAGACTCAAAATAAGGCTCTGCCAACAGAGAAGCAGAGATATAATTGCCCTCTGCTTGACTGCCAAGGCCCCATGCAATCTGGCCTCACCCAACTCCATGCCAACATTCCAGGACCCACGGACGTCTTCATGCCTCTGCGGTCATCCCTACTGGGGTTCTCTCACCTCTTCTCCACATCCATCCAAATCTTGTTACTCCTTCAGGTCCAGCTGGAATCTCATTTTTCCCAGGAAATCTTTCCTAGATGTTCCTGGTCCAAGTCATCTACCTCTTATATAATCTCTACTTCCATTTAACTTTCACTACACAGCTTGGCTCTTAACTGCAATCTTGGAGTTACCTCGTGTATATTAGTTTTTGTCCCTCATCCTAGTGTCATCAGCCTAAGACTCCCAGGGACAGATCCACAGTACAGCAAAGACACGTGTATTGACTCACTGCAAAGAAAGATGGTGTCCACACCAGAACTGTAGGGCGTCTCACTGCTGTACCAAAGCTAGACAACAGAATCCTTAAAAGCCAAAAGCATGTCTATCTTTGTTTGTGAAAAAATGAAGTAAAGGAGTCATTATCGGATTTGGGGGAATGATGGAATTTAAGTAAAATTTAAATAGAGAGGTTCAAACCAAAGCAGAACTGTATATAAAGTGATCAACATCAAGTCTGGGCTGTGAAGCAGATGTTTATAGTCCAAGCTAATTTTTTACTTTTTCATTCCTCATCAAGCTAGACAACAGACTTCTTAAAGGCCAAAATCACTTTTATATTAATTCATATCCTATATGAAACTGAGCAGCACATACCAGATGCTATACAAAGGCTATTTGATATCTGATTGATGGATAATGAAATTTTAAACAACCAAAGCCATAGATGATGGGTTATAATTACAAAACTACATAAAACAATCTTTTGGTAGTCTATATAGGAAAAAAAAAGAGGTAGTAAGAAGGAGGTATATTTCTTACCTACAACACCAAAAGCTGAAACAGCTCGAAATAACCCGGAGGATCCTTTCTGTCCCATCTTTGTTCTATTTCCTAGATCCAAGCGGCCAAGAAGTTCTCTCACTTCTTGTTGAGTATATACGTGCTAAAAATAAGCAAATTTAATCCGAAAGGTTGTGCTTATTCTTTAGATTATTTATTGCCTGTAAGAATCACTAGCTATTTCATAGAGAAGTACATTATAGTGCATAACTAAGCTATAATTTTAAAAGCCAACAAATTCCCTAACATTAGCAATTATGGGTGGTTACTGGATCACATGTCGCTATACCAAAAAACTTTGTCAAAACCTCATCTTCTGGGGCACCTAGGTGGAGCAGTCTGTTAAGCGTCTAATTCTTGGTTTCGGTTCAGGTCATGATCTCTCACGGGTGTCATGGGATCGAGCCCTATGTTGGGCTCTGTGCTCAGTGCAGAGTCCGCTTTAGATTCTTTCTCCCTCCCCCTTTACCCCTCCCTGCTCGCTCATGCTCTCTCTCTAAGAAATAAATAAAATCCTTAAAAATAAAAAAAACCCTTACCTTCTGAACCACACATTTAAAGGATCATAGGCAAATTTCAAGAAATCTGTGAACTCCTTAGAACTGTGTGCAAAGTTTTGATTATACATACATATGTGTATTTTTATGAGGCCCACAGCTTTTCTTAGATTCTCAAAGAAATCCCTGATCAACTGTTCCCATGCCCAAGTAAAACCAAGAATCAATACATTATATTAATAAAAATTCCCAGAATGGGGGGGAATGAAGAAAAATACCCATGAGTGCTGGAAATCACAACATACAATTTATCCAAAATTATTATAACTTAGAAAATAGTTTTGCAAAGAACTTCGTGAAAATGGGTTGCAAACTGTAGCTACCAACATATTTGAGAAACCAGCAATCGACACAGATTCAAAATATTCAGACAGAACTTCAATACAAAGGGTAAGTTAGGTTCTCTCATTTGAAAGAGTTAAAATTAACTATTCAATACCACCATGCTGTATTTCACTTTTGACTAACAGTATCATGTTTTTGTGCTATCTGAATTAAGTCTATATTCCTGCTCTGGATAATATAACATCTGTATAAGCTTCACATTTCTCTTTATAGCAAGTCACCAGAAGATCACCTAGAGGTGATTTTTAGCAGCATAATTAAAAGTCTGGAGCACAGAAGTCTGCCCTAACTTCAAGTGGCTTCATATTAAAGCACAGTAATACATAATTTCTTCACTATATGCAATATTAAGAGTTAGATTAAATCCTTAAAATACCACTTCTTTAAAAAAATATATTATCTTATCCAAAGAGTTTGCTTTGTAAAACAAATCAAAATGAAGGACAAAGTGTAATTCCAGCATACTTTGTAACATCAGTAATTCCTAGAAACCAGATTAGAGATTTAAATTCTAGCCAACCATGAAAAATAATTATAATTTTCAGATGCCTGATGAAAAAAGGAAAAAATATATCAATAAAAGCTGTGAGGATAGTTCACACCCTTTAACAGGTACAAAAGTTACTGTTTGTATTCAGGCTTGCAAGATACTTACCCTATCATCAATTATGACCAAATCTTTTGGTTCTGTTCTATCAATCTTCAAAACACGATATTTTGTTTCTGCATGATTGCTCCCAACTAGAAAGTATCTCTATAAATGAAAAGAAATGTCATTAGTTTTTTAAGGCACTTTTCCTTATACACATTTTATAACCACTTTGGTTTTTGAAATTAAATACTGTAATAAAGTTGGGTTACTTCTGAAAAGAAATATTTCTGTTAAATATAACTGGCAGAGTAAAGAAAGGCTGATTCTAAAAGGTCAATTTTAAAATTGAAATATTCTTAGTGATGTCATGATAAACATCAGTCTGGTATTTGAAATGTACCCAGTAACCAGGTCAGATTAATTTAATTATATTATATAGAGATTAACCTAACTGATTGGAGACTGATGTTTAAACTTTGCCAGGAAGAAGCAGCTCTAGTAAGAATTAGAAAGCTCAACATGTAATTAGGAATGCTTAGACAATTATAGCTATGAAAATATTGAAATTTTATCAAATAAATCTTTATAAATTTTCTGCAAAACATTGAAAATGACTTTAATATAGCAACTATAAGAACCCCAAAGTCCTATAAAAGATTTAAATAAGTGTAGTTTCCCAAATGGCTTTTTATAGATAAGCTACAGGAAATAATTAATATTCTTTCTTTTCTGAATACTTCCTTGGTGCATTATACCTGAGCACATTAGTCTTCTTAAATAAACACTAAGAATAAAATTAATAATTAAAATATAAAAAAAATCTTAAATTTAAAGAAAGTGTTTTTAAGAAAACTTAAACAAGGTGAGTAATTTTTAAGAAAATAAGTAAAACCCATTAGGAAAAATACATAAAGATATTTTGCTCTAAAAAATGTCCTTAAAAGTGGTGCTTTTTCAACATAGCAAAAATTGAGAAAACATTGCTACAATCAACTGGCATCTTACCATCTCATTGGTCAGTTAAGATTTACATCCACAAAACAATTAAATAACAAATAAGATCCTCTAGATTAATGGCCAAACTGAAGTATGTAGACCATGGGACTTCAGAGCAGGAAAGATTAATGTGCAGTACTACAGGTATAGAAAATGTCAGAGGAGTCTGGACTTGAATTTAGCCTTAAAGGATGGGAAAGATTTTTAAAAGTAAGATTTTAGTGTACATCAGAAGATGAGCACTTAGTTATATTGTTTTAACACTACATCTGCAGAAATAGGTGAATTTTTTATTATTAAGTATAAATCTGTTTACAAAGGTCTGTTCTAGACTTCCAGGCTATACAGAACAAAACTATATGTTAAAAGATGATTGGTTCTGGGGGCATATGCCCCAGGCCCTGCACCACCCTGCTAATGCCTGGATGGGGGGTGGGGGGGCATGGTGCCTGTAATTATTAAACACAAATTCAATTAAAAGATGATTGATTAGCCCAATCTTAAGAGGAAAGCTAGCCAAAAAAAAAAAAAAAATGGAATCCCTTATTTCCTAGGAAGGCGTACAGTCTGAAGGACATGACCAGTTATAATGAAGTAGAAATACAGCAATTTTAATAAAAGTTAGTAAACTAACTTGAGACATCCAGTGACCAGGACTTGATGCACCAGGGGAGCAGGCAGAAGGGCGGGGACAATGAGAGGGAGGAGGTCAAAGATTCTTGGCCTGGCCTCAGCTAATTCCTGTCCCTGTGACCCCACCCCCCACTGGGGGGGGGTGGTAACCAACCTAATAAAATTAACTTCAGAAGGACGGTCTGTAAACTATACATGTTTGTTAGCAAAAAAAGGAAGCCACCTTCTTGAGGACTTGAGGAAAACAGTCCCCACTAGAGGAAACAGCAAGTGCAAAGACCTAAAAGAGAAGAAGCCTGGTGTGTTTGTTAGAGGAACAAGGTTAAGTGAGAAAATGCTCATAAAACAGCTAAAGCGGGGAATAGCGTTCAACACAAAGAAGGCACTCGATGGCTGTTAGTTCCTTTTCTCCCCTTTACTTTTTAAGATGTCAGTGAGTCTATGCCATTGCATTTAGAAAGTGACAGAAAAACAGAAGGAAAAAAGAGAGTACTTTAGAGAAAGAAAAACATGTACAGGACCAGAATGGAGCCAGAATGGGAGAATGCACAAATCTACTAGGAATCAGTCTTTGTCCTCAGGAGAGAACAACCGCAAATTAACAACCGTGAATAGCATGCTATAATAGAAGGATGAACTGGATGATGACAACAGAGGAAGGGCAGTTAACTCATTTGGGGAGGGTCAGAGCAAGCAATCCAGAGGCTGGTGTCCTGGTGCTGAGTTTGGCCTTGAAGGACCTCTCAAAAGGACTCCATGTCTGCAGCCAAGATAAGATGAGTGATACCTACCATCTCCACCTGCAACAATCCTCTCTCATCACCTGCTCCCTCCCAAAGCACTTTCATTTATATCTATAGCACTTACTTCTGAAGGCCTTATCTAAATTCATTTAAGATGTCTGCCCCCTTCACTTAATTATATGCACTGGAGAGAGGGGGGCTAACTCCCTAATCTCTGTGGTTGTTACCTCTGGTCTGGTAGCACAGTCTGGTTCCGCAGGCATTGAGTAAATATTAGGTAAAGAGCACCACCTACCACAGAGGAATCATTTAATTTGCTAGGTAACTTTCTACAAGGTTTGCGTGAACCCATCTTCTTTGGGTAAGTCAGTCTCTCAGTAAGAAAGCACATCACAGCTTTAAGACAGGTAAAATCCCTGAATGAAATTCCTAGAATTTTAATAGATCCTAGGAAACTTAAGGAGTAATTACAGTAGGACTATGATTTGGCAGCTTCTCGTAAAAAGACAGTTGTGATTCCTGAGTACTAGTGGGCCAATGATTTATGGGCCGTTAGAGCACCCACATGGGAGGGCAGACCTACACCTAACATGGTATCCAGACTCTTCCAAAGACTCCATGAAGCAGAGGAACCAACAGCTAAAATCTACAGAATTTACAAATAGATTTGAGTGGGTAAAAAGAAACAGGAAGCAGTGTAACTATCCACATTGTTTCTTCTAAAGTGGTCCAAGAAGCCTAAAAATGTTTTGTGCAAAGAAGAGCGACCTCTTGTGGAACCAGTATGTGTGAAAGAAAACCACAGCTCTCATTTGGCCTCCTGTGGATAGAATCACTTGCCTGCACTGCCCTCTGGTGGGCAGTGGACCATCAACTTTTACACCAATTTTTTTTTAAGCGCCTAGTCAATCCAATTACTTTTGTTTGAGCCTGGTGGTGCCACTTAACTGATTTAGGGATGGACTGCAGGGAGGCAGATTTGAGGGGAAACCAAGAGTTCTGTTATAACATGCCCAAAGAGGTCAAGTGAGAACTTCTGAGTCTCTGAGAGGAGACTTCTGCGAGGAGAGATCTTAGAGTGTGTCAGCAGCACATACATGGCCTTTAAAGTCATGGGACTGGATTAAACCTAGTATGGAGAGTGAAGATAGAGACAGAGCCCAAAAAAACTAGCCTGAAGCACTCTATATAAAATTATTTAGAGGCTGGATATAGAGAAGGAACCAGGTTAGAAGACTGAGAAAAATGGCCAGTGTTTTTGGGAAAACCCCAGGATAGCATGGAGTCATCAAAGCAAAGGGAGGAGACCATTTGGAAAAGGAGGGAGAAGTCACATCCACATCAAATGCTGCTGAGACTGGGTGCAGCCACTCCGGAAACCAGTATGGAGGGTCCTCAAAGAGTTAAAAATAGAGCTACCCTATGACGCAGCAATTGCACTACTAGGTATTTATCCAAAGCATACAAACATAGTGATTTGAAGGGGCACATGCACCCCAATGTTTATAGCAGCAATGTCCACAAAGAATAGCCAAGCTATGGAAAGAGCCCAGATGTCCATCGACAGATGAATGGATAAAGATGTGGTACACACACACACACACACACACACACACACAATGGAATATGACTCAGCCATCAGAAAGAATGAAATCTTACCATTTGCAACAACATGGATGGAGCTAGAGGGTATTATGCTAAGTAAACAAAGTCGGTCAGAGAAAGACAAATACCATATGATTTCACTCATATGTGGAATTTAAGAAACAAAACAGATGAACATAGGGGAAGGGAAGGAAAAATAAGATAAAAACAGAGAGGGAGGCAAACCATAAGAGACTCTTAACTCTGGGAAACAAACTGAGGGTTGCTGGGATGGGGAGGTGGGGGGGGGATGGGGTAACTGGGTGATGGGCATTAAGGAGGGCACCTGATGGAATGAGCACTGGGTGTTCTATGCAACTGATGAATCACTAAATTCTACTCCTGAAACTAATAATATACTATATGTTAACTATATTGAATTTAAACAAAAAAATTTTTTAAAAAGGAAATGAAAGAGAGAAAAACAAAAACAAAAAATGCTGCTGAGAGGTCAAGGAAGATGAAGACACGGAAGTGCCCAGGGGATCTAACAACAGGATCTTTTGAGTGGCCATTCTGTGGGCAATCTCAGTGATACGGTGGGGACAAAATCCACAACACAGGCGTTTGAAGAGCAAATGAATAGTCATCTGGATAAAGGTGAAGAAGTGAACACCTCTGTTCCTCCCAAACACCTTACTAAAACTATAGTAAAGTTTCTTATGTTCATTTTTTTAGACATAAGCCCCAAGGCAAAGAGAAGAGTGGAGATAGCAATAAAAAAAAAATCATTTGAAACTGAAAAGCACGCCCGAGAAAGCTGAACTCTAAGCTGGCAGTGAAGTCTAGAAACAATCCAATTTACACAACAGAACTTCCAAAAGGCATGGAAATGTGTGGCATCTCTTATCTCTGGTGGTAGGGGTAAAAAATTTCAGAAAATTGAAGATAAAAAGAAGATAGCTCAAGCTTCTCAAGAGAAAAAAAAAAGAAGTGCTTCAAACCAAAGATCAAGAACAGAGTAATATTAGAAATTCTCAACAGCAACAATCAAATGTGAGGATGGGATAAGGACATTTTTAGAATGTACAGACTCAAAAAAAGTACTGCCCATGAGCCCTTTCTCATGAAGCCATTGGAGGAGGTACACCACCAAAAGGAGGGCATAAATCAGGAAAGAGGAAGATGTAGGATCCGGGAAATCAT